TAGAAACGATGCTGGAGATTGCATGATAGAATTTTGCAAGCAAGACCAACGACTTCTTCATTGCAAATACCTTTTTTCACAAACATAAGTGGCGACTAGACACATGGACCTTGCTAGATGGAAAACACAAATCAAATCGACTACATCTGTGGAAAGAGACAATGGAAAAGCTCAGTATCATCAATCAGAACAAGGCTAGAGGCCAACATTGGAACAGACCATCAATTGCTCATATGCAAGTTCAAGTTGAAACTGAAGAAAATTAAGACAGATCCACGAGAGCCAAAGTATGACGTTTGGTATATCCCACCTGAATTTAGAGACCATCTCAAGAATAGATTTGATGTGTCGAACACTAATGAGCAAAGACCAGACGAGTTGTGGAATGACATCAAGGACATCATATATGAAGAAAGCAAGAGGTCATTAAAAAGACAGGAAAGAAAGAAAAGACCAAAATGGATGTCAGAAGAGACTCTGAAATTTGCTCTCAAATGTTGAGTAGCTAAAGCAAAAGGAAGAAATAATGAAGTAAAAGAACAGAAGATTTCAAAGGGCAACATGAGAAGACAAAGTAAAAGATTATAATGAAATGTGCAAAGACCTGGAGTTAGAAAACCGAAAGGGAAGAACATGCTCCGCATTTCTCCAGCTGAAAGAACTGAAGAAAAAATGCGAGGCTCCAGTTGCAATATTGAAGGATTCTACGGGGAAAATATTAAACAGGAAGCATCAAAAGAAAATGGAAGGAATACACAGAGTCACTATACCAAAAAGAATTGGTCGATGTTCAGCCATTTCAGGAGGTAGCATATGATCAGGAACCAATGGTACTGAAGAAGGAAGTCCAAGCTGCACTAAAGGCATTGGTGAAAAACAAGGCTCCAAGAATTGAGGGAATACCAATTGAGATGTTTCAACAAACAGATGCAGGGCTGGAAGTGCTCACTAGCCCATTCCAAGAAATGTAGAATACAGCTACCTGGCCAACCGACTGGAAGAGATCCATATTTATGCCTATTCCCCGGAAAGGTGATCCAACTGAATGCGGACATTATCAAACAATATCATTAATATCACACACAAGTAAAATTTTGCTGAAGGTGATTCAAAAGCAGCTGCAGTAGTATCTCCATAGGGAACTGCCAGAAATTCAGGCCAGATTCAGAAGAGGTCATGGAACCAGGGATATCATTGCTTATGTCAGATGAATCCTGGCTGAAAGCAGAGAATACCAGAAAGTTGTTTACTTGTGTTTTATCGACTATGCTAAAGCATTCGACTGTGTGGATCATAGCAAATTATGGATAACATTGTAAAGAATGGGAATTCCAGAATGCTTAATTGTGCTCATGAGGAACCTGTACATAGATCAAGAGGCAGTTCAGACAGAACAAGGGCATACTGAGTGGTTTAAAGACAGGACAGCCGTATGTCAGGGTTGTATCCTTTCATCATACCTATTCAATCTGTATGCTGAGCAAATAATCCGAGAAGCTGGATTATATGAAGAAGAACCCGGCATCAGGATTGGAGGAAGACTTATTAACAACTGGCGATATGCAGATGACACAACCTTGCTTGCTGAAAGTGAAGAGGACTTGAAGCACTTACTGATGAAGATCAAAG